CTGCCTGCCTGACTGTAGGCACACAGCCTTACTCAGCCCATGGGTCAGTCTAGTGTCCATAGCTGCTCTGTCTTTCTATGCTACCTGCCAATGTCTTGCTCTTGCTGTTTTTCCAGGCAGGTATCCCATGCTCCACTCATGCTCTTCCTTAATGACGGTCCTGGGATCATGTGTTCCTGAAATGAAAGATAACTATTACCCACTTTTAGTTACACATCTTCTACAATTACAGTTTTGGCAATCACAATTAATGCTACTAACAGTTATTCACAGTTGAAATAATAAAATCCTATCACCATAATCCCCCATTCCATTACACCAGACCCATCTAGAAAAGAGGAAAACTAGTCAGTGGGAATTATCCCTTGTACCTCATTCCAAAACTAAGCACACCCCTGAAAATATATAGGACAGCCACTTCATGCCTTTTAGTGCCCCCAATTTTTGAGAGCCAGTATCTACATTGCCCATATCTATCAACCCAGTACACTGAGGAGACAAACTTGATCTGAATAACCTTTCATTCCACTTGTAATTTTGAGCAACTGCATCCTTAAGCAAAAGCCTAGTTCATCTAATTGTACCGATTGACACTTGTTCATGGTATCAAACATCTTTATCTCCATTTGGTTATGTACTTGTCAGCTCAGCCCTAGCCATTCAGGCTAGGTCCATGGGTACCAACTGTAAGTTTGGAAGTTCACACACACACACACACACACACACACACACACACACCCTTGCATTTCAAATCAGTTAGCCCCTTCACTCTCAGACCTAGCCCCTGTGGACTAGGTCTGTGCCCATGGGCTCAGGAGTTCACAGGACTTCCTAAACTTCAGCCCAGACAACCTTCCCTCTCTTTTCATCTCAAGGTCAGCTGGTGCCATAGAACACATCCAAACTCAGCCAGTGTCTTCATTGCTGCATTTCCCCAAATTCCACTTACATGTAGACCCAGGCATCACTAGCCAACCTATGCCTCTGGTTCCCTTAAACTTTCAGTCCTAGAAGTGGGTGGGGGTGGGGGGGGTTCTCTTTTGGGCCAACTTCCCTTCCATTGATGCCTCCAAAAGCTGAAAAGCCAAACAGCCCACTTTTTTCTCCCAGCAGTTCTGGGTTGGTCTGCATGTCTTTGTAAATGCAAGTATCCCAAATCTGAAGGTTCTGGGAGGGGCTCAGGATTCTACCTAAGGCCTCATATTCTACAAAGTCTTAAATCAAAAAGCTATCCCCAGTCCCCAAGCAACTTTTAACTCCCTTTAAGCAATCCAATCCAAGTGTAGAATGAAGGCAGGCTTACAAGTTCTCTGTAATCATAATTTCCAATTTTGCTTTCACACGTATTTATCTATTTTATAATAGGAGGGAGAAACCAATATCCATAAGGCTAATAGCACATGATGGTGGTGGTATGCCGTGAAGTCAGTTCTGACTCAGAGCGACCCCATATAAGGTTTCAGAGGCTGTAAATCCTTGTTGTTGTTTGTTGTTATGTGCTGTGGAGGCAGTTCCAACTCCTATTGACCCTGTACAGGGTTCCTGATCTTTACGGGAGGAGAAGCCTCATCTTTCTCCCACAGCAACCCTGTGCAGCATTTCCAAGGAGCAGCTGGTGAGCTTGAACTGCTGACCTTGTAGTTCAAACTGACTTTGTAGTCCAGCACCTTAATCCACAGTGCCACCAGAGTTCCATAGTCAAACACATAAACCTTTAAAAAATACATTTTCATTCTTTTTCTCTACCTTTGACTCTTTTATATGCATATGACCTTGAGCCTCTGGCAGGGTGGATTCAGCTTTGTTTTCCAAACAGTGTCACATTGGTTCCAGCAACTTCAGAAGCTTTGGCTCTCCCTACTGCTTAAGTATTTTATCCATATCCCTTTGTTTTTTATCTTACAAATCCTCATCATTTCATAGATCCAGAGCCATTGCAATGAATCCTGATAACAGTACCAACTTCTTAAGACAAATGGGGAACATGTCTGACTTCCTCTGACTCCATTAGTAGGAAAGAGGACCAAACTCAAAATCAGCGTAAGGTGAATTCCTATGCAGTGGAGATCAGACATGCCTCCATCCACTCAAGTCAGACATGAGAACCAATTTAGAAAACTCATCCTTATGATTTTATTTTTCTAGAACCCCACTTTCAGTACCAGATGTCTTGTTGTTTGTTGTTAAGTGCCGTCGAGTCGGTTCCGACCCATAGCGACCCTGTACAGGGTTTCCGAGGGTGTAAATCCTTACGGGAGTAGAAAGCCTCATCTTTCTCCCGCGGAGAGGCTGGTAGTTTCGAACCGCTGACCTTAAGGTTCGCAGCCCGATTCGTAACCACTACGCTACCAGAGCTCCTTACCAGATGTCTTAGACAGGGTTTTCTTGAGAAGCAAAATGAGTGGGGGGAATATCTATTTATCTATCTATCTATCTATCTATCTATCTATCTATCTATCTATCTATCTATCTATCTATCTATCATTGTTGTTAAGTGATGTTGAGTTGGTTCTAACCCTTAGCGATCCTGTATAGGGTCCGAAGAGTGATTAGTGAATTTGATTCACCAACCTTGCAGTTCAAACCAACCTTGTGGTTGAGTATTTATCCTACAGTGCCACACCAGTACCATGGACTGCCAACAGAGCAAACCAATCTGAATTGGAAGAAGTACAGCCAGAATGCTCCTTGGAAGCCAGGATGGCCAGATTTCTCTCATATTTCATACGTATTGTCAGGAGGGATCAGTCTATGGAGAAGGGTTTCATGGTTGGAGAAAAGGAGAGAAACAGGAGAACCCCTAACTAAATGGATTGACACAGTGGCAACATCAATGGGCTTAAATGTAGCAATGATTGTGAGGCTGTTGCAGGACCAGGCAGTGTCTCATTCTGTTATGTGTAGGGTTGTTGCACTCCATGGCTCCTAACAACAACAACAATACAGAAGTGTACCATCAAGGAAATGGGTTACAATTGTAGAGTCCCAGGTCCCCAGCAGAAGAGATAGAGTCCATCCCACATGTCCATTATACTGGGAGCAGGCCAAACCCCAAGGAATCATCTCTTCACTTCACTGGTTACTCATAGCCACTCATCATAGAGTTAACTATGCCTGTATGAGATTTCATCACCATGATAATAAACGAGCTCTGGAAGTGTAGTTGTTACAAATCAGGCTGCTAACTTCAGGGTCAGCAATTCAAACCTACCAGCAGTTCCACTGGAGAAAGATGAGGCTTTCTACTCTCATAAAGATATCCCACCTGAAATTTAGAGATCATCTGAAAAAATGGATTTGATACATTAAACACTAAAGACTGAAGACCAGAAGAGTTGTGGGATGATATCAAGAGTATCATACATGAAGAAAGCAAAAAAGTCATTAAGAAGACCAGAAAGAAGGAAAAGGTCAAAGTGGATGTCTGAAGAGACACTGAAACTTGCTCTCCAACATAGAGATGCTAAAGCAAATGGAAGAAATGAGGAGTTCCAAGAGCTGAGCAGAAAATTTCAAAGGTCAGCTCGAGAAGATAAAGTCAAATATTACAACAAAATGTGCAAAGATCTGGAGTCAGAAAACCAAAAAGAAAGAATGTGCTCAGCATTTCCAAGCTGGGGGAACTGAAAAAAAAAAAAAAAATCAAGATTCGACTTTCTACTTTATTGAAGGATAAAGAAAGCATTAAAAGAAGATGGAAGGAATACATAGAGTCACTGTGCCAAAAGGATATGGTTAATGTTCAACCATTTCAAGAGGTAGCATATGATCAACAGCCAATGATACTGAAGGAGGAAGTCCAAAGTGGTTGAAGGAATGGGCAAAGAACAAGCCTCCAGGAATTGATGGAATAAAAATTGAAATCTTTCAAGAAAGTGAGGCGGCACAGGAGGCACTCACTCATCTCTTCCAAGAAATTTGGAAGACAACTATCTGGCCAAATGATTGGAAGAGATCCATATTTGTGTCCATTCCAAAGAGAGGTGACCCAACAGAATGCAGAAATCATCAGACAATATCTTTGATATCCCATGCAAGTTTAAGTTTTACTAAAGGTAATACAGAAACAGCTGCAACCTGTGTGCTGAGCAATAATCTGAGAAGCTGGGTTCTATGAAGAAAAATGTGGCATCAGAATTGGAGAAAGACTCATTAACAACCTGAGATATGCAGATGATACAACCTTGCTTACTGAAAGTGAAGAAGACTTAAAATATTTACTGATGAAGAGCAAAGACCACAGCCTTTGGTATGGATTACATCTCAATGTAAAGAGAACAAAAACTCTCATGATTGGACCAATAAACAACATTCTTATCAATGGAGAAAGATTTAAGTTTTCAAGGACTTCATTCTTCTTGGATCAACTATTAACACTCATGGAAGCAGCAGTCAAGAGATCAAACGACGTATTGCATTTAAGCAAATGTGCTGCACAAGACCTTTTTAAAGTGTTGAAGAGCAAAGATGTCAGCTTGAGGACTAAGGTGCGCCTGACCCAAGTCATGGTATTTTCAATAACCTCATGTGTATGAGAAAGCTGGACAGTGACTAAGTAAGACCGTAGGAAAATTGATGCTTTTGAGTTATGGTGTTGGAGGAGAATATTGAAAGTGCCATGGGCTGCCAAAAGAACAAACAGATCTGTGTTAGAAGAAGTGTAGCCGGAGTGCTCCCTGTAGTCCAAGACGGCCAAACTTCGTCTCTCATAATTCAGACGTATTGTCAGGAGGAACCAGTCACTGGAGAAGGATATCATGTTTGGTAAGGTGGAGGGTCAGAGAAAAAGAGGAAGACCCCCAGCCAGGTTTACTGGCCAAGTGACAGAATCAACGAGCTCAGGCGTGGCAATAATTGTGAGGTTGGCCCAGGATCGGGCAGAGTTTCGTTCTGTTGTGCATAAGGTCACTCTGAGTCCATACTGACTAGATGGTACCTAACAACAACAACAACAACAACAGCAACAACAACAATAACAACCATGAGAATACTCACATATCAACTTTTGAACCGCTGGAAATCCTGGCCTAGTGAAGATGACACAAAACTCTAACCATTACACCCTCCTATGGAAAAAAACTCATTTTAAAAAAGATCTTAGTTTTCTGAACATTTTGATTTTCCATTGAAACATTTTTCCTCATAGCTGATTATATTGCCTTCTGGAAGTTTGTACTGTAAGTCAACCTGTATAACTTGGTGTGAATCTGGTGGTAGTAATTTTTTGAGAGACTTGTCTGTAATTTTGATGTTTATGTGATGGGACTGGAGGCTGCAATTATCACAGTTTGGACTATTCAGAGTAAACACTCAGTATGTGCTGGTTGAATTGGAATGATATAGATCTCAGCATGATGAACATAATAAATCCCCCTCTCTCCTATTAAGATCACAGTTGTTGGTAATTCAAGCAATGTTTGTAACAAACTCTCTTCATCATCAGTTCCAAAATGGAAGGAAACAATTTTTTTCCCCCCAGTTGTCATGTTTAGCACTGAATTGACGTGATCTGTATCTAAAAGTTAGCTTTATATAACTCCTTTTGTGTGTGTGTGATGGAACTATACACTGCCATACATCATTTGAACAACTTTCACATGTACAACTCATTGACATTGTACAAACATTATCACAATCCTTCTCTGAATTCCTCCACTGCCATTGCTGTAGGCTCACTGCCTCCCTAACCTTCTTATCTAACTGTTTAAGTAGCTATTATCAATTTTATCCCACATAGATGATTTTTTAAAGAAGTATAATTCTCAAGGCAGACGCATTTGTCAAGATAGACTGTATTTGGGTTCACAGCAGACTTCATTTGATTAAATCAGTTTAAGATTTAAATTTAAAAGGTCTCACTGTGATAGTCTAGTGTACATCTAGTCCCAGTGGCTCCAGAAATCTCCACATGCCAGTGAAAATTTGAAATTCTGTGCTAAATTTTCCCTCTTTTGACCAAGATACAGGTTCTTGATAATAATAATTTGCATAACTCTTTTTGATAATGTTTTAGTTGTTATAATTTAAGATTGCATTTATGAATTCTCAAAATATATATAAGTGATGCAGAATTGTGCTCATATTAACTTTCTTGGATTATCCAGTTGGTTATGTAAGTTTTGAATATGTATATGCCTAGGTCATTTTTTCTTACATATTATTAAAATAAAAAGATAATTTAATCACCCAGTGTGTCATAATGTATTTATTGATTCTAGACACACCTATTTTTAACTCTTGAAATTATTTCATTTTTCTGTGGACATTCATCCTTTGTAAATTATACTTTGAGAATATATATGTGTCATCATTAAAATGATGAAATATTTGAAAATTTGGAGAGAAAAAGATGATGTTACAGTGTTTGTAGCTGTATATGAACTTGATTTAAGTTAGAAAAATCATAATTTATGTTTTGCCAATACTATCTATATCTATATAAATATTTCTGTTTTATACATATCTATATATAGGAGCACTGGTAGCGTTGTGGTTACGAATCAGGCTGCGAAGTGCAAGGTCAGCAGTTCGAAACTGCCAGCTGTTCTGCGGGAGAAAGATGAGGCTTTCTGCTCCCATAAAGATTTACAGCCTTGGAAACCCTATACAGGGTCGCTATGAGTTGGAATCGACTCCATGGCACATAACAACAACAACAACAACATATATATCTATATATCTATATTTCAGTGAAGAATTTCATCTTTTACCATGTTCTATTTATTTTCCTTCTCCTCTTCCTTTAGATGAATATCTTTTGATTTTTTATGCTAATATACGTTTTTTTCCACACTTGAACTATGAGCGCACAATGCTCTTCATATGATGAATCAAACTGTGCTAGGTGTGTAAGACACATTGCTAATTTAATGATATTTTATTTTCTAGGTGTAACACCAGTGAGTGTGCAACTTAATTCTATGCTTTGTCCTGCACCTACTTTGAATAAAGTTGGAGAGTAAGTACTTCACTGAAAACAATTTTAAACATTTTGGCTACAAATTATTAGAAAATAGCATAAAATATATCTTTCATTGTGTCATATTTTGTTATCTAGAATGATCATTAGACAGCCATAGGCACACACTTTAGTTAGCATGTCACCTCTTACTTGGTTGAAAATGATAAAGTTTGTTTTATCTTATTTCTTGGCTAAAGCTTCAAAAGCTCTATAAATAATTACCCTGATTGATTTGAGAACCATTGTCACAAAGTATAAATAAGTAGAACCACAGCCATTATTTTAGAGTATTGTACTTACACGCATACACACACACATAATTCTAAAGTGAGATTTTGATTAATTATTGTAATCTTTCATAAATATTAAAAATACTAGCAATATCATCACTATGGCACACCTGGGACTAGAAAACATTTGTGCATTTTCATTAATTTGTGTCCAGTCTTATTCTGGTCTAAATGTCTTCTTTGGTGTGATGATAAACCAGAATGATCACTAAAATGAGGAATATTCATTCATTTTGGAGTGACTTTTACTGTAATCACTTAGGAACAAATAATTCCACTAATATTTTCATAATTTTGTTTGTCATTTTTATCTACTCTTTATATGTAGAGAGTTCCTGACAGGCACAATTAGTTAAATGCTCAACCACTAGCCAAAAGACTGATGATTCGAATCCACCTAGAAGCACCTCAGCAGGTAGATCTGGTAATCTGCTTCTGAAAGGTCACACAGCATTGAAAATACTTTAGAACACACTTTTATTTTGTACACACGAGGTTGCCACAAGTTGAAATCCACTTCATGGCAACTCACAATAACTATTAAGCATGAAACAGTTGTAAAATATTTTAAACATTCTACAACCCAACAGTAGATATGCCATATGTATAGGATAATGACTACAATACAGCTTCCTAAGGCATCTTCATTTTGGTCATTTGCCTAGAACATAGAAAAATTAAGTGTACAGTGTCATCATTCAGGGTGTAGGTTACTGTACAGAGAGTGATGATTATATTTTCCTCCATGAAACTCCAAAAAATCATTCTAGGACTCTTCAGTTGAGTTGAATACTTAACTTCTGTAGATGCTTGAATAATTCAAGATACCTATTGGGCATCACTTCTGGTTCTATGTAAATTGTAGCAGTTATCACCTTTATGTATTGAATTGATTAAAAGGAACCGCAAAATACAAATTAAACCTTTGGGCTGTTTTTCTTCTAAAAAAAACACACAAAACATTCATTTTTCTCTGCCATGTGATAAGCCAGTGTTATTGAGAACACACCTATGGTTAAATTGATATGGGAATGAAACTTAAGGCATGTCAGTTGTAATTTCATGTTGAACCTCCTGATCGTTCTCCCTAACCAATCTTCTCTGTAGGCAACTACATCCTTGTATGATCGTAAAAGTCCTTGCATGATCATTCATTTCATTGTTTCTCTTACACTCAGTCCATCAGCAAATCTCAGCTCTAATTTCAGTGCACTCCCAGAATCCACTCCTCATTACACCCTCACTGCTATCATCATCCTTGACTAAGCAATTATTATTTCTTGCTTGGATTATTAATCGACCAACTTTTCTGCTGTGTCTGCCCTAGGCAGGTGTGATCTCATTGACACAGATCCGTTTCTGTTCACTCCTCTGCTTAAAATCCTTTGTAACAATTTCCAACACTCATTTAGAGTAAAACACTAACCATTGCAAAGTTCTATGAGGACCTACACATTTTGATCCCTTGCTACCACTCAGACGTCATCATTCATGTTACTCTTACTCATTCTGCCATGGCCACACTTACTCCTTTGCTGTCCCTTCACCACATCAACTCACTTCACTTCTGCAATGTTGCACATAATGTTTCCTCTTCTTGAAATGTTCTTCCTCTCATTGCTCACTTCCACACCTTCTGAAAGTCTTGTTCAAACGTCTCCTTTCCAGTAAGTTCTTTCCTAGTCACTCAGTTTAAGAATGCAGTGGATCTTGGATCTGACCCTCTCTAGTCCCTGTCCTTGTTTTATTTTTTTCCCCCAGAGCATTTAGTTGTTTGTTATTGTGTGTTCCTTTGTGAGGATGAATTTTGTGATCTTGTACTTGGCTGAATCTCTAGTATCTAATGAAGTGCCTGACACATAGTAGATTCATTAAAATTTTGTTAGATGAAAGGATAAATAAATTTTATTCACATATTTTGGTTTACCAATTATTTCGAAAGACTATACAGAAGTATTTTATTATTGGGGGCAGCAGTCTATTTCAGAAGAAAAATGATCAGGATCACACCCAAACTCTTATTATTATTATTTTTTAATAAGTTATTAGTGTGGCATTGTAGGATAAACACTGGACAGCTAATTGCAAGGTCAGTGGTTCTAATACACTAGCTGCTCCTTGGAAACCTCTTATAGGGTCACTATAAGTCAGAACCAACTCGATGGCACTTAACAACAACAAGTTCAGGAACATAGCTTACTTTCTTCTGCATGTAGTTATAAAATTCAGTCTGCCTGTTCTATCCTAGGCATTGAAATTGGTTTCTCTAGAATTTGCCTTTGGACAAATAGTCCTTTAGATGAGCATAACGTGGATATTGCTGATACTCTTTTATAATTTGTAGATTAGCTTGGTGCTTTGGAGATGCAATTAAAAAAATCACACATGGCATCATAAATATCAGACATGAGAAATCATTTGTTCTATTCTTGACATTAAGGTTTCATCTACAAGCAAGCTGAAAATGTTTTGACAAGGAGACCTACCTAAAAGAATTGTTTTTGCTTATTTTTGTATCATATACATGATACCACTGAGGCAAAGCTTGAAAAAAAATTTTCTAGCTTAAGTTATTGGATATTTTGGGATAACTTCATTATTGTTTTTTAAATTGATATATATTGCAATATATTCGTATATTGCAAATAGTTTGCACTCTTTCTTTGTCTTGAATTTTCTCCAGATATTTTTGTAGGTGATAAACTCTCTTATGGGATTGGACTAAAATCAATACAACTGAAACAGTTTAGCCTTGTAAGGTGACTGATGCTTAATATGTTTGCTTAATTGGCTTTTGGCTAAGAATTCAAACCCATTAAGTAGCTAGTTAGTCTATGTTTCAAATAAACACATCTGGCCCAACAGTGAGTGAAGGTTTTTCCTATGTGAGGGTGACAGATGTGGCGATGGATCCCCCTGTTCTCTCACTTAAATAATTAACAACACGCTGGTGAAGTAACCCTAAACAGTCACATAGCCAGATGCATAATCTCAGAGCTGGATCCATGGGCATGTGCCTCATCTCATTAGCCTGTATGCTTTTTCATCCTTAAGTGATTTCAAGAATTATATTTTATTTGTGGATTATTCTTTTTAAAAAACTAGTGCTCATGGATTTTGATTTAAAAAATCATTAACATAAAGATGTTTCCTTGGAGATATGTACTAAGAATGTGGCAGAAGATCCAGTAGCTGGTATATAGATTTCATTTGAAAATTGATGTTATGAAGCAAATAAAAGATAGCTGGGAAAATTCTGGCCATCTATATCTTTGTTGAATATTATTGGAATGGGCTTTTGAAAAATTTTGAGGTAAATTTATACTTAGTAACTTACATTTAAATATAGTTATACATATGTGCATATTTTATAAGAATTATAATTGATATACAAGTATGTAAATAAAATATAATATGATAGGGAATTATATGAGTGGAGTGAATTATTAAATGCTTGGCTACTAACTAAAAGTTGGGAGTTTTGGTTCAACCAGTGATTCTTTGGAAGAAAGGCCTGGTGATCTGCTTATAAAAAAAAAAAAATCCATTGAAAATCCTATGTAGCACAGTTCTACTTTGATACAACTTGCTGACAACTGGTTTAGTTTTTATACTAGGATAAGGCTAAAATGAATTCTTACTGTTTAAACAAGAGAATGTAAGGGTAGAAGAGTTGAGGTTATTATTTTTTATGCCTTTTATAAAACAAACATTCTATATAGTTAAACAGCTTGTTTTACCAAGAACAAAATCGAGATTGTTTAGGGGTTCATTTCTGCCAGTGGCTTATTTGCACCAAAATGTCCTCTCTCTACGTAAATAAAATGAACTGTTACAACTCTTTGAATCCTCTTTATTCCAGGGCAATAGTTGTAGGGTTTGATATTACAGATGTCACCAATATTTGCGAGATAAGTTTATTCTCTGACCCTTGTTTTGTGAGATATCCACAATAGCACAGCTGCTCTTCAATAGTTGAGATCTCAAACCTGTAATTTGGCAAGAAGAACAGAACAAATTGGGTAAATATACATAAACACATTGTGAAGAAAGAAAAACAGAACAGAATGAACCAGAGCCTTATCCTACAGCTTGTTTGATAGAGATGATTTAAGGAGGCATATGGTATAGTTAAATGTGCTTTCAAAAACATTGGCCAGAATCTTCTGGCAAATATGAAATAAATATCTAAATCAGATGAAACTGATAGTATTATTTTTCTTAAAAGGCAGTGTGGGAAGACTCTTGACAGAGTGTTTTAAATAAGAAGTTGTAGGACATGAGTTATGTGGAGAATTTCAAGCATTTGATACTGAAACTTCATGGAGATGAGCAGGGTGGCAAACTTGGAGTTAATGTTACAATCATTTTATTTCTGCCAACATTTTTTTTTTTTTCCATCTAAGTATTCAGCCTAATCTCTTTTGCATAGGTTAAAGTTGATTGGTTTTACTTCTCTTTCTCAATGGGAAAAATCTGCATTTAACACAACTTCTCACATGAACATTTTTTCAATAGGATACAAAATAAAATATAGAAAAATACACGATTCAGATGTGACACATTATTGTCTGATCAAACATTTGAAGGCCTGTCTTGTAAAAAAACGGATTTGATTTGTTCTTTTTTGCTCCTAAGGAAAGGAGAAAGAAGGGTGGAGGTAAAGGGAAGCACATTTTGGCTCAAGATAAGCAAGAATTTTCTTAC